AAGTTAATTTTGTCTTATTTCAAGTGAACTAAGATATTTGAACAAAATCTTTGAATTGTTTATTTTTATTTTTTTTCAGTGTCTGGATGGTCATTACACCATTTCACAAAAATACAGGCTTTTTTAAAGTAAGCTAACAAATACTGATTCAGTTTGTTGTTCAGACTGATTATGTCACAGAAGCATTAACAATATCCAGCCAGGAACCTTCATCAGTGGGTCTGAGATGGTTTATATGACCAGCTGATTTTAATAATCCCCTTGGTAGATGATCATTCTGACAGACTCATGTACATACTGAAGGACTTCCATCTTATCTGATAAACTCGACGGCTGAAGACTACAACTTATGTGAAGATGAAGACAACCAAGGTCAGTGAGTGTTCAGAGTTTCAGTTGGTTCAGTTTGTGTGACTCAGAGTTTTTATTTATTCCCTCAGAAATGATAAAAACCGCTGTGAATGACAAAACTCAAGCAAATTACAAGGACAGTTATTGTCCTCTAATCAACTGTTCCACAGTTATCTGTTTATCTTCCTGTTTGAAGTTTTTCACCAGATTGGTTTCTGTGCATGTTCTCCACATGTAAATGCTATGTTTTGCTCTCTTTACCTCAGCTGGTTGCAGATGTGCATTTGACTGAGAAATACGTACAAGTTTAATGTAGCTACACAGGAAGGGTGAGAATACTGAAGCAACTTTTCTTTTCTTTGCTGCAGAGCTGTGTGATTTCTATTTTCCATATTTCCCGCTGGTATTGACTGGAATAATGTTGATGGCTTAAGCTGTACTGCAAGCGCCGGCATAATGGAGCAAACTGGTGGGAAGGAGCTCATCATAAGTCTGCCTGGCGATCATTCTTGGCATTAGTGGTGGATGATGCAGCAGTTCTGCAGCTTGTGGCAGGATATATCGTTTATAACAACTTGGCTCTAAATCATTGCAGCTTATTGATCAAATCTGCCAGTTCTAGTCTGCCCTGGTCCTCTTTTTACAATCTGCTTCTATGTGTTTTATGTTTTCCAATTGATTTGGAAATCCACCTATAGTACAGATGTTTTGCTCCAGACATGGAGAAAACATCTTAACACCATTGAAATCATCAAAAACTCCAAAATAAAGAGAAATACACCTGAAGTGTGATACTTTGACCTGAAACTTATGTTCTGTCAACAGAGGCATGTTCTGCACTGAATCTCGAGCATTTTTATTTATTTTTTCGGTCTTGGGCTTCCTTCTGTACGAAATGTAAAGAACAGTGCAGTGGGTTCAGTTTTAGCATTTGTAGGATTTTTCTCGTCTTTGGCAAAAAAAACCATAAACCATTTCTCATGCGTTTATTTTGGTTGCATTTACCCAGAATGCCCCCCATTGTGGTCCGCTTCCTGCTTTGAGAGCGCTCTCCGGTCCGCTTATGCTCTCGAACCGCACCAGAGTTCACTTCAACCGAGACCAAGAGTTCGCCTTTTTTGTTCCGGATCAGAGTTGGAATACACATTCACACCTCCCCTAACAAACCAAACTTTCTAGGTAAATGATGAAGAGTTTGATTGAAGCAGACTAAAAAGTGCTTTAGTGAATTCACATATTTTATGATGTGAATTCATCCTAAAATATGTACTGACCTGCCATGTGGCCTGAGGACCAGGATTAGGAACCACAGTTCTAAAAGTTACCAATGATGATCTAGGACAATATCATTTCATCTAATTTGAGAGTTTCTGAAGGTCTCTGACCTCTGCCAGTTATTTATCATACCAAAACTGTCACTAAGGAAACTAGAATTTAAAAAGACAAAGAACGAAATACTTATTGAATGAAAAAAAAGGTCAGAATAGGATGATATGATTTTGCTAATTAAACTCTGTATCTGAACTTTTGGTATTATTTAGTTCAGTATTATGGTTCTTTCAACGAGGAAGCAGAAGTTAGAGCAGACAAAACTCTTCACAGGAACCTCTTGACTTCATCTTTTCATAACATAATGTGCCCAGACAGAAATGCTTGAATATTTTTTATTTTTTTTTATTTTTTATTACATCTCTTCAATACAAAAATCATCTCAAGGCCTTTTCCAAAATGAGAAAAGTTAAATATCAGTTCAAGCAAATGTGTTCCACTGTATTTAACTTGTCACTCAAATTCTAATTGTAAAACAAATTAATACAAGCTGAGGCCAACGATTTCCAGCCATTGTTAAAATGTTGTGTATCGCACAAAAAAAGGAAACACTTTGTGTTGGTATTTTTATAATGTGAAAGCTGTTATGTTGTTCAACGAAGTTGAAAATGAGATAAAGCAATCAAAATTTGCATGTATCAATGTCTGATGCTATTAAAAACAAAGCAAGCTGCATGGTGGTGCTCTGGTCCTGTGTGGGTTCTGGGACTAAATCCCAGAGGTGTCTCCACACATGGCGGGTCCGTCTGTAAACGAGTAAACATGAATTAAACTGACCGGACTTAAATTATGGAGTGAAGTTGTTTCATGCATTCGATGTGCAATTAGATTCCATCTGACAAACAATTAATTTCTTGCAGACTTCCTGAGCGATTAAAAATAACCTACCTGTTACTAGGCAGCTGCACTGAATTAAGTGTGCATGTAAGATTTTGTCTGCTTGTGCTGTGTAATGACTCAGTGAGTGTGGGTTGGTGTAGGCTCATGTAGGTTTTTTATTTTGTGAATGTGAGCTAATGCAGGATACTGCAGGTCACAGAGGCTACTGGAGGTCAGTTGAGGCTGTAGGTTTTTGTGTGTGAGAGAGAAAGAGACAGAGATGCCGCGAGAGAGACTGTGGTGAAGCTAATAGCCATGTATCCTTTGCCAAGATCTTTAAGGAAGTTTCTTTGGATCTAAATCCACAGTTTAGGCGACTGAAAGTCTTTGTGAATACCTGGAGAAACCTCTAACTCTGTCTCTCCTTTCTGTCAATTTTATGTTTTTGTTTCTTGCTTTTAATTTTGTTATTCTGTATCTTTTCTTAGACAACAGTTCTTGGAGCTAATAAAATGAAGTAAAGTGCATACATAGTGCTTTACTTGATGTGAATGTGGATGCCTAGCTTCTGAACCCTGGGAAAAACTTTGATCCTACCATCCACATTTTGATGATTCTTTAACATGCACAACCTATATAAGCATTGTTAGGACATCTTGAAAACTCTATGATGGAACTGACATTTCGTAACGGCTGTTCCCTCTGTCTATACTCTTCCACAAAGTAGAAATGGCTAAGGAAAGGTTTGAGGAGCAAAACAGCAGGTTTTAAGTGTTAAAAGATTCTCCAAATTTCCCCACATGTTAAATCCAACTGAGCATCTTGGGGATAAGATGGAAAAACTACCTCATAGGCTTTCAGAAACTCTTGCCAGCATCTTGGTGCCAGAGACCACAGGAGATCTTTAGGGGTCTGATGGAGGTCGGAGCTTGGTGCTGGCAGCAACGGGAGGCTGCCTCCCTGTTGCTGCCAGCACCTCAATTTTAATGTTAAGCCTGATTATGTACATTGTGTACATTTCACATAGAATTGTTTCGGTGCAGGCCACTTAAATATCTTCACGATTGCGTTTTTTTTTTGCAAATGTTGAACGTCTTTAAAGTCAAACACACACTTTCCAATGTTAAATCTTAAACAATAGGCTTTATGAACTCGCACCCAGAGATTTCTCCTCCACAAAACAATGACCCAACTCAGGGAGTCTAAATAAGGAGCCAAGTGGGTTTCCCTTTTTAAACGGGCAGTAACAGGGGAACCTGTTTGGCAGGCTATCAAATGAAGACACAGCAAAGACTTCTTAATTAACAGATATTATAAACCAGTTGTGTTCAGCAGTCTTCTCCAGTCTTGTATGTTCCGTTTCCTAATTTACAGCACCTTTAAAAAGTATTCAAAAGGGTTGGATGCTTAACCCTTTTTTTCTACAAATCAGCAGGACAAAAGTTCAAGTAAGGCTGATTTTTATGAACAAAAAGAGCTTGGTGTTATGACAACACTTCTGTCATTGCACCAACGCCATTTATTTGTCAGCACTGTTTTTCGTTTTCTTCAGAGATGGAGACGGTAAAGGATATTTCTATTCTACTCTAAATGCCCCACTTGGATAATCATGTTCTGACATAAAATTTCCATTTTCACTGCCAGCATATTTCCAACATTACGCTGGGTGTGGGAGATTGTATGAAAGCTCTCCCTGACCTTAGCGGTTAATGTCCTGTAAAGTTGGTAAGACTTGAAAATGATCTACAAACTTCTAAGCACTGGAGGGGCATGTATTCTTTAAGGAGAGTCACATTATCTCTACGTTGTGTGTGTGTGTGTGTGTGTTACTAGTTTGTGCCGAGCATTGCAGTCCTGCCTTGCTAACTGTTCTGAAACTGGCACCTTGCCAGTTGTGACAGTACTTTCAGGGGTTTCAAGTGGAATACCGTACACATATGCACGTACACACACACACACACACACACACACACACAAACACACACACACACACACACACACACGAAAATGCCATTTATTTGTCAGTGAGGGTGAAATGAGCTCATACCCACCAGGGGGCTGCACCCTCTGTGTGTGATAAACCCTCTGGACTAAAAGAGCTGTCGTCTGGAGCTTCATGCTAACATTTTTGCTCTCCTTGCACTTGTGTATCTAACTTTTTTCAGTTAAAGGCGACCCAAACTTTTTTAAGCTTCTTTACCACCACAATTTTTAACAGCAGCATTTTTACTGTGCAGGTTTAAAGATGCAGCAGGTAAAACTGTCACTATGTCATGACAGTAGAGTATGAGATAGATGTTCTGTGGAAAAAAATCAAGCTCCTTTTCCATTTCCCAGTACTCCCAGAACTAATGGCAGAAACTATTCAGTCAGAAACAGCCAATCAGAGCCGATGTATTGGCTTTGATTGGCCAATGCATTACTTAAGGGTCTTAGCGCTGTAAGTCACCCTCGTGTACACACTGCTCATGCTCTGCTCCTTTCTCTCTGCTGCGTTACAGCTGGTTCACCACAACAGAGCCTGCTAGGAATTGCTAAGGCTGGTTAGCATGGCCATTGATGACGGCAGATAGTTTTCCTGGAGCAGTAAGTTGTTTTTTTCTGCAGACTGCAGTTGTAGGGAGGCAGAGGAACCCCCCCCCCCCCCCCCCCGCTCCGCATCCCCTTTTTATACTCTGACCACAGTCTGAAACTAT